CTTTTTTGACTGCTGCTGCACACTGAGTGGATGTTTTCACAGAAATCTCCACAATGACTCCCAGATCTCTACCTAGAGTGGTAACAGCTAATTTAGACCCCATTGTTTTATATGTATAGTTGGGATTATGTTTTCCAATGTGCATTACTTTGCATTTATCAACACTGAATTTCATCTGCCGTTTTGTTGCCCAGTCACCCAGTTTTGTGAGATCCCTTTGCAACTCTTCACAGTCTGCTTTGGACTTAAAATATCTTGAGTAGTTTTGTATCATCTGCAAATTTTGCCATCTCACTCTTACCCCTTTTTCAAGATCAGTAGTAGAAGATATACTTTAGTCAAACATAAGTTACTGGGCTCCATACAGGGGTAACTGGATGAAATTCTATGGCCTGTGTTATACAAGAGGTCAGACTTGGTCTAATGTTCCCCTCAGACTTTGAAAATCTATGTATCTATGAATGTATCAGTCTAGTTTTACAGAGCAAAACGAGTGTATTTGGAAAATACATACATACTTGGGTTACCAAATGTCAGTTGACCCATAGAACAATAGCAGAAATAAGAAATCCTAACAATCAAGTTTCATAAATACCAAGGAAAGATAATCCATAATCAGAAATTAGATTTTGTATCCAACTCATCAAAAGAGGCTTCAGAGCATCCATAGTAACTATTTTACAAATGGGATAGTCAGTCACTTCAAACTTCTTACAAAAATCACGCTTTAGTAATGAAATGCTCTCCTTAATTTTGTTAGATTTGTTAAATTAGCTTAACTGGATGTTGCAATAACACAATCATATACTTTTACAAGACTTCAATTTTATGATTGTGGCAACTGACCATATTTAAAAATCATTCATTATCAGGTACCAGAAGTGAACAAAAAGAAAAGGAGTACTTGTGGCACCTTAGAGACTAACCAATTTATTTGAGCATGAGCTTTCGTGAGCTACAGCTCACTTCATCGGATGCATACCGTGGAAACTGCAGCAGACTTTATATACACACAGAGAATATGAAACAATACCTCCTCCCACCCCACTGTCCTGCTGGTAATAGCTTTTCTAAAGTGATCATCAAGTTGGGCCATTTCCAGCACAAATCCAGGTTTTCTCGCCCTCCACCCCCCCCCACAAATTCACTCTCCTGCTGGTGATAGCCCATCCAAAGTGACAACTCTCCACACAATGTGCATGACAATCAAGTTGGGCCATTTCCTGCACAAATCCAGGTTCTCTCATCCCCCCGCCCCCCTCCCAAAAACCACACACACAAACTCACTATCCCGCTGGCAATAGCTCATCCAAAGTGACCACTCTCCCCACAATGCGCATGATAATCAAGGTGGGCCACCCCCAGCACAAATCCAGGCCTTCTCACCCCCCCCCACCTCCATACACACACAAACTCACTTTCCTGCTGGCAATAGCTTATCCAAACTGACCACTCTCAAAGTTTAAATCCAAGTTAAACCAGAACATCCGGGGGGGGGGGGGGTAGGAAAAAACAAGGGGAAATAGGCTACCTTGCATAATGACTTAGCCACTCCCAGTCTCTATTTAAGCCTAAATTAATAGTATCCAATTTGCAAATGAATTCCAATTCAGCAGTTTCTCGCTGGAGTCTGGATTTGAAGTTTTTTTGTTTTAAGATAGCGACCTTCATGTCTGTGATTGCGTGACCAGAGAGATTGAAGTGTTCTCCGACTGGTTTATGAATGTTATAATTCTTGACATCTGATTTGTGTCCATTTATTCTTTTACGTAGAGACTGTCCAGTCTGACCAATGTAAATGGCAGAGGGGCATTGCTGGCACATGATGGCATATATCACATTGGTGGATGTGCAAGTGAACGAGCCTCTGATAGTGTGGCTGATGTTATTAGGCCCTATGATGGTGTCCCCTGAATAGATATGTGGGCACAGTTGGCAACGGGCTTTGTTGCAAGGATAAGTTCCTGGGTTAGTGGTTCTGTTGTGTGGTATGTGGTTGTTGGTGAGTATTTGCTTCAGGTTGCGGGGCTGTCTGTAGGCAAGGACTGGCCTGTCTCTCAAGATTCTCACAAATCTTGGGAGACAGGCCAGTCCTTGCCTACAGACAGCCCCCCAACCTGAAGCAAATACTCACCAGCAACCACACAACAGAACCACTAACCCAGGAACCTATCCTTGCAACAAAGCCCATTGCCAAACAGTGCCCACATATCTATTCAGGGGACACCATCATAGGGCCTAATCACATCAGCCACACTATCAGAGGCTCGTTCACTTGCACATCCACCAATGTGATATATGCCATCATGTGCCAGCAATGCCCCTCTGCCATTTACATTGGTCAGACTGGACAGTCTCTACGTAAAAGAATAAATGGACACAAATCAGATGTCAAGAATTATAACATTCATAAACCAGTCGGAGAACACTTCAATCTCTCTGGTCACGCAATCACAGACATGAAGGTCGCTATCTTAAAACAAAAAAACTTCAAATCCAGACTCCAGCGAGAAACTGCTGAATTGGAATTCATTTGCAAATTGGATACTATTAATTTAGGCTTAAATAGAGACTGGGAGTGGCTAAGTCATTATGCAAGGTAGCCTATTTCCCCTTGTTTTTTCCTACCCCCCCCCCCCGGATGTTCTGGTTTAACTTGGATTTAAACTTTGAGAGTGGTCAGTTTGGATAAGCTATTGCCAGCAGGAAAGTGAGTTTGTGTGTGTATGGAGGTGGGGGGGGGTGAGAAGGCCTGGATTTGTGCTGGGGGTGGCCCACCTTGATTATCATGCGCATTGTGGGGAGAGTGGTCACTTTGGATGAGCTATTGCCAGCGGGATAGTGAGTTTGTGTGTGTGGTTTTTGGGAGGGGGGTGGGGGGATGAGAGAACCTGGATTTGTGCAGGAAATGGCCCAACTTGATTGTCATGCACATTGTGTGGAGAGTTGTCACTTTGGATGGGCTATCACCAGCAGGAGAGTGAATTTGTGGGGGGGGGTGGAGGGCGAGAAAACCTGGATTTGTGCTGGAAATGGCCCAACTTGATGATCACTTTAGAAAAGCTATTACCAGCAGGACAGTGGGGTGGGAGGAGGTATTGTTTCATATTCTCTGTGTGTATATAAAGTCTGCTGCAGTTTCCACGGTATGCATCTGATGAAGTGAGCTGTAGCTCATGAAAGCTCATGCTCAAATAAATTGGTTAGTCTCTAAGGTGCCACAAGTACTCCTTTTCTTTTTGCGAATACAGACTAACACGGCTGTTACTCTGAAACCTGTCAGAAGTGAACAGCAGCTGTTCTTGAAAACTACTAGATTTCTTGGCACCCAGCTTAGCACGATATGGGAGAAGGGACAGCTGCAGATATATTAGCTGAATACTTCCACTGGAGGGTCCAAGATTTCCCATTGGAACTTCTATGATCAGCCACATTGGAAGCATGGAAATCTAGCTGGGAAGAGATGCATCCCAGTTCAGCTTGAGGCTCCTTGTCTCTGATGAAATGGCAGCTCAAGACTCTCAGCTGTTTCTAGCTCAGAACTAGAGCGAAGTATGTTTCAAACTGAGTAAACATGGATGTAACGTTTCACTTCAGGTGAATATCTATAGGTTTTATACTGCTGCCATCACTATAGCATCTGAGAGTCTTCCATATAAAATCAACAGCAATAGCAAAGCCCCTAGTGCAGGGGCGGCCAACCTGAGCCAGAGAATTTACCAATGTACACTGCCAAAGAGCCACAGTAATACATCAGCAGCCCGCCGCATCAGCTCCCTCCTCCCGGCTCCCAGCGCCTCCCACCCACCAGCAGCCCTCCTCACACCGCCCAATCAGCTGTTTCGTGGCATGCCAGAGGCTGGGGCAGCGAGGGCACGGCAGGCTCAGGGGAGGGGGCGGGAAGGGGTGGAGTGGGGGCAGGGCCTGTGGCAGAGCCAGGGGTTGAGCAGTGAGCTCCCCCTGGCACACTGGAAAGTTGGCGCCTGTAGCTCCAGCCCCGGAGTCGGTGCCTGTACAAGGAGCCGCATATTAACTTCTGAAGAGCCGCATATGGCTCCGGAGCCACAGGTTGGCCGCCCCTTCCCTAGTGGGCTTCCCCTCTGACTAGATGGCATAGGTACCTGGCAATGTAATACAGCACCTTTCACTCAAAGGTGCTGCTTCAAATCAGTGGTGTCTTAACATTACCATATAAAGGCTGTTGGGCAACCCCTGTGAAATGAATTGGTCTTGGTCCAGTTCCTAATGGATAATGACCCACATCTCAAAAATCACCAGCTCAACTGCCACTACTGCTGGCACTTTCAGGGCTGAGTGAACCATGGAGACTGAGCCCCAGAGGTGGCCAGCTCAGCAGAAGGTTGCGGCACGTAGTGGGGTAAGCGTGCATGCTACCTTCCAAACGGTCTCTGCTCAATGAATAAATGGAAGACTCCAATCCTGTGAGGTCCCAAACCACCTCCTTCCACCAACACTAAATTCACTTTGAATTATTATAAGACATTAAAAGGTGAAAACACCCTCAGACTGCTAGTACAGTGGAAGGATCAAAGTGTCTCAGAGCCTCCTGGATCAAGACCCAAAAGTCTTCATCTACAGCTGCACTTTCTGGTGCATCCAAATGGTCCATTAATCAAAGCCCTTACACCCCCTTTCTGGGGAGGCTTGAGAATAATAGCCTAACCAATTGGTTACAAAGTGAACACAGACCCAAATCCCTGGATCTTTGGACACTGAAAAAAAATAAAAATACATCAATCAGTTCTTAAAAGAAGAATTAAAAAAAAGAAAAAGAAAAAGAAAGAAAAGGTAAAAATCCTCTCTGTAAAATCAGGTTGGAAGATAACTTTACATGGTAACAAAAGATGCACAAAACACAGAGGAACCCCCTTAGTTTCAAAGTTACAACAAAACAGGGATAAACCTCCCTCCAGCAAAGGGAAAATTCGCAAGTTGAGAAAACCAAGATAAACTAATATGCCTTGCCTGGCTGTACTTACAATTTCTGTAATATGAGAGACTGGTTCAGGATGGTTTGGAGGACATGGATTGATGTCCGGTCCCTCTTAGTCCCAAGAGCAAACGAACACAGAAACAAAGAACCCAAAACAAAGCCTCCCCCGCCCCTCCCCAGATTTGAAAGTATCTTTTGTCCTTATTGGTTCCTTTGGTCAGGTGCCAACCAGGTTATTTGAGCTTCTTAACCCCTTACAGGTAAGGAGGAATTTTAGGCTACCTTATGGTTGTGACAGGGTCTATAAACAAAAACGAATGCCATTATTCCACTGGATGAGCCACAGTACTTCAAATACAGATCTTTGCCATTTTCAGCCTACTGAAGAGAGAATAAAACTAACAGCACCTACACTTCAAAAAAATACATGTCAGGGAGTTTGTCGTTAACCGAGTTATTGGGTCTCTCAACATATGCTGCATGAAATAATCTCACATATGGATATCCTCCACCTCTACCTCCCTTTAGGTAGATTATTTTAATCCATAAATAGCCACTCTGTCAGCTGCTGATGACTGGGAATTTAAAATGGGATTTCTTAGTCAGCTGCTCAGAGTCTAGTTAACTGAAAAGGCAGTATACAGTGGTAACTCATACCAGGGGAAGTTGGGAGCATCTCTTGCTGCTTTGACAAGAAATGGGATATTAACATCAAGTGCCTGTCTGACCCTCTGGGCATCAGGGACTCAGCCTTTAGAATATCTTCCCTTGAGCAAAGAATTTCTTATCTCACTAGTGGGGTACTGGCAATGGAAGACAGCTGCTAGCAGAGAGTTAATAGAGTTTTGCAAAACTGCCACAAAACTGTCAGCCCAAGCACAAAAATCTGATTTATTGTGATGAGAGCAATGATTAAAAAAAATAAAGGTATTTAACTTGTCTCCAACCCTTGTAACTTTAGTGCCCTCATGGCCAAAATGGACTCTGCTCTGCAGGCAGCTCTGGCCAAGAGACAGAGCGCGCAGGAATGCAGCAGGAAAAATTCCTTCCACCCCAGGGACACCTGTTCCAACCCCCCCAGAGTGAACACACACACCCATAGGAAAAGTACAATGGATATAACAAAGGGAGATATTTATTTACAGAGGGACGAGAGGAAAAAAACAACAAGAGGAAAATGTAGGGGGAGAAGTAGAACAGGGTTGCATCCAAACCAAGGCCCCACAACCCAGTGGTAGCACAGTCTGAAAGGGCAGACGCTGAGCAATGTGTCTGAACACAGAGTTCAGGAGTCCTGAGCAAAGTTCCAGTCCAGTGCTGAGTCTTGGGTGCTCCTGGTCGTCTTTGGCGCCAGTCAACTTTCCCCAACAAACCCCTCCGGTGCCCTCTTCTGCTGCTCTCTGCAAAGCCATACAGGGCGACAATCTCCTCACTTAACTAACTAGCAGCCTCCCTCCTTATTCCCAATGTAGAGTCACAAGCCCCAGTACTCACAGCCCCATGCAGCTCTGGGTAGCAGTGATAATGGGTCCAGCTCTGGCCTGTCCTTCTCGGGCAATTCCTCCCTGGCACAGTGCTCCTCCTGGCTCCTGTCCTGGGGTGTCCCCGATCGGCTGCCCTGTCCTTCCCAGGCTTCAGGCAGGTTCTCTCTCCTTCACTTTGTCCAGGGCCTCCCTGCTGCAGCCCTTCTCTCCCTGGGCTCCACAGCCACACCCTCAAGTTTCCCTCCTTTCTCTCACTGCTCCCCCGCCCCACTAGGGAAAAGATTTAAAAGGGCCATCCATGCTCTCTAAACCCCAAGGGGTTACACCCTTAAAAAAATTACTTGCCCAAGGCAAGTTGAATTTTACAAGTCTACAACAGCATTTTTCATATTCTTAGGAGTTAGGAACAACACCAAAATAATATGAATTATCACCCCACATAAGGGCAAATATATATATAAACACTGTCCATCATTCAGTATTATGCTTGCAACAGGCAAGGGTGGGTTTCAGAAGAGCATCTGTACATATTGGACCAGATCCTCAGCTGGTTTAAATGGACACAGATGCATTAAAGTCTAAGGAGTTTTGCAGATTTGTACTAGCTGAGGATCTGGCCCATTATTTCTTAAAATAAAAAAAATCCTAGTTACTTATACGCTTAGTACAGTCAAAAATAAGGTGGATTTACCAGGTTCATATACACACAAGTGGGAAATATCTATAGCCCATACACACTACATGGAGCTTAGGGATGAACTGTTGGATCATGTTGAAATACAGCGTGTGTGTGTGTGTGTGTGTGTGTGTGTGTGTGTGTGTGTGTGTGTGTGTGTGTGTGTGTGTGTGTGTGTGTGTGTGTGTGTGTGTGTGTGTGTGTGTGTGTGTGTGTGTGTCATACATACATACACATCCCCACCCACCGACCCACCATATATATTTCAACAAGACTCAATATATCAACCAAGAGCTCAATGTAGTGCTGACTCTGAAATTCTTGGGTGGCCTTGCTCCATTACCTGAACCCTCTGCTGGCTAGATAGATGCTGGGAATGTCCTGGCCCCTTTCCCATTAGCTCTTTAGTTTCAGACTCTGCATCAGGTGCTTTGTGATGGTGATAGGCTTCTGCCTTTGCTGTTTTCTGCTCATGGTGGGTTTCCCTTTTTCTAGCGTCCACCTCAAACAAGATGCTGGTTAGCCTCTCCAGGGATTTCGCCATCTCTTCTTCGGTGTATTCCAGATGTTTGCCAGCACCACTGGAATAATAGGTGGTTGGCACTGGGGTGCTTCGTGTTTCTGTAACTTTCTTTGCGGCCTCCAAATCTGGGTCACGCTTCCTTAAAATAAGCACCAAGACAAGCAAGAACAGGCACAAGTAGACAACCCACACTTCTTCCATCTCGACACTTAGACACTAGGAAGATAGGTGCCTTAGACAGACCTGAGAGAGAGAGAGAGAGAGATCGGCCAACCAACACAAGGGTTCAATTCACAAGCCTCACTGTTTTCACTGTCAAGGGGGAAAAGGTCTATTACTATGAGGAGGATCAGTAATTAAACCACCCTCTAATTTACCTAGAAAAATGTTCAAAAAAAAAATTAAGCAAACTTAGCTTAAAAAGCATTCTTCAGATGAAAATACCAAAGTAAGAAAATAGCATAAGCAGTAAACAGCCAATAAAACAGATATTTTCTTCAAGAGAGGAAAATAAAATGATTTCTTCTACCTTTTGAATAAAACAGCTTCAGTGGAAAGTTACAAGCTTATGCCTGCCAGCTCTTTACAGTCCCAAATCACCAATATTTCTTTTTTTACTGGCTTGAAACTTTTAGTTGCAGTCTCTTGGGGGGGGGCGCGGGGGAATATCTTCAGGGGAAGAGAGTCCCAAAGAATCCTAGGTCAGGAACTTCACAGCTAGTTTCTATGTGAAATTAGGTAGCTCCAAGTCCAATTCCTCCTTGGAGCCTGAATATTAAGTCTTTTCTTTTATTATGTTTAAATCGAGTATTGATTATTTCCTTGGCTGCTGTTTTAATTAAATATCAAGGTTTTCTTTTGTTTGATTTAAAAAAAATTGTAATTCAGGATTCATTTTTAGTTGAAGATAGAAAATATTTTCTCCCCCAATGATTGTTAAATGCACTTTTCCCCACCCTCTTTAACACTATTAAAAAAAAGATTAAATGACCAAGGTGAATGATAAACAAACTGTTACTTTAGATAAAAGGTTCAGTGGGAGTGACTTCAGGTGGCTTCTCTCTCTGCTGGCCTTGGGGAGAGGCAGTCAAAGCAGATGATGGAAGTGGTTGCTGGGACTCCACAGATAACTCCAGCTGCACCTTTGCAGGGAGCCCAAGATCTCCCGTTGGCTGTTCTTCTATGTCTAGGCACTCGAATGCTCTGCTGTCACACCTGATTACTTCATGCACAACATGGGCAGCCCAGGGACCAATCAGTTCACTCCTTCAACCAATCCCAGGGGGAAGGAGGAGGCGGCGGTTGGCCAATCGGCTCTTAGCATTGGGTATCACAGCCAAAATGGAAACTGATAAAAGGAGCTGTCAGTACTGGGCCAATCAGTGAGTAGGGAAAGCTTGACTGGTGGTGCTGCTCTTTCCAGGGCCTGACTGGAATGGGATTGTGTTTCAGAGCCCTTGCTGTGGGATATTATTACAGATGAGGGTGCCAAGCCAAAAAGGGACAGAGACTGTGCCCAGGTGTTGGCTGCCTCCGCCATCTAACACTCCTCAGCTCAATGACCAGCAAAAACAACTCCAATTTCTTTGTTTCCAACCCACTCCCTGCTTCTTTGTGAAATAACCCTGAGCCGGAAGAGAATTTTGGCCTTCTCCCATCCATTACTGACTCTGCACGATGACAGAGGCTCACCCCAGGGCACCAGCAACCTCAGTTCTGCCATTTCCAACCTTTTGACTCCAACCTTAATATTCTTTTAACATAATTGTTTTGGATGTAATTTACTAGTGTAAAAAAAACCCTGAAAAAACAAATGCCATCACATGAAACTATATCGATTCCCCCTCCAAACCCAACCCCCCCGGGTTCACCCTTTATATCTTCAGCACAGATCTCTACCACCTGAATTAATGCAGTGAATGGTAGCTGTAGTAGGCTGTTACCCTATGTAGACCAGTCACTAGACCGGGGTTTCAAACACGTGGCCTGTGGGCCACATGCAGTCTGCGGGGTTATTTTCTGCGGCCCGCCAGCTCTCCACTGCACCCCCGCCTCTCCAGCATTTACATAGAGTGGCTCCAGCCCGGCGTGCACTGGAGGCAGGGCAGGCTCCCTGCCTGCCTGCCTGCTCTGTCCCTGCGCTGGTCCAGGAAGCGGCCGGGACCTGGGGGGGTACAGGAGTCTGTGTGTTGCCCTGGCCGCTCCTCCAGGTACCTCCTCCAAAGCTCCCATTGGCCGGGAACGGGAAACCGCGGCCAATAGGAGCTTCAGGGGAGGTACCTGGAGGCGCGGCCAGGGCAACACACAGACCCCTGTGCCCCCCCAGGTTCCGGCCGCTTCCCGGAGCGGCATGGGGGCAGGGGAGGGCGGGGCAGGGCAGGGAGCCTGCCCTGCGCCCAGTGCGTGCCGGGCCAGACCCGCCCCCTGAACCCCTCCTGCAGCCGAACCCCCTGCCCTAAGCCCCCTGCCACACCCCTCCTGCACCCCGACCCCCTGTCCTGAGCCCCCTGCCGCATCCCGCACCCCTCCTGCGCCCACTGGGGGCAGGGAGGGGGCGGAGTTAGGGTGGGGATTTCAGGGAAGGGGTTGGAATGGGGGCAGAGAAGGGGTGGCAAGAGGTGGGGCAGGGGTGGGGCCTCACGGAAGGGGTGGAGTGGGGGCAGGGCCAAGGCAGCGGGGGGGTGTGTGGTCAGTGGTGTGGCCCTCGGGCCAATGTACTAGTCCTCATGTGGCCCTCGTGGTCATTTGAGTTTGAGACCCCTGCACTAGACACACACTTTGCCAATGGATTTCACAGTTATTTGCTGACAACAGAGGAATGTAGAGACTGAGGACTTCTGGATTCAGCTACAAGTTCTGGAGGAGAGTGTACTCTAATGGTTATAGACCCTTCAGTTTATGTGTCCCTGGCCAGTCTCTACCCACCTCCAGCTCCTTTCCCCCCTCTACCCACAACCTCCTCATTCCCAGATGCCATTCCTCACCCCTCTGTATTCCAATAAAGTATCCTCCTCCTCCTTGCTGCCAGGGCGCCTGCAAGGGTGGACCCTGAGAGCCCAGGAGAGACAGACAATCTCCCTGCTCAGTTCTGGCCCCCAGTACCTCAGTAGCCTCTTGGCAACCAGGAGGAGCAATTGAAAGGAAAGTGCTGCTCAGCTCCTGCAGCCCTAGGATGGAACATGCTCAATCGCTCTGTGGGGATGGAGCATACTTAGTGCAAACAGAAAAAGATGAGGAGTCATGGCACCTTAGACACTAACAAATTTATTTGGGCATAAGCTTTCATGGGCTAGAACCCACTTCATCAGATACATGGAGTGGAAAAGACAGAAGCAGATATAAATACATGAAAAGATGGGAGTTGCCTTACCAAGTGTGAGGTCAGTCTAACGAGACAATTCAATTAACAGTAGGATACCAAGAGAGGAAAAATAACTTTGAAATGGGCCACTCTCATTACCACTACAAAACAGTTGACAAGAAGGTTGAGTAACAGTAGGGGGAAATTAGGTTTAGGTTTTGTAATGACCCAACCACTCCCAGTCTTTATTCAGGCCTAATGTGATGGTGTCCAATCTACAAATTAATTCCAGTTCTGCGGTTTCACGTTGGAGTCTGTTTTTGAAGTTTTTGTTGTTGAAGAATTGACACTTTTAGGTCTGTTATTGATGGTTTCTAACCTTTCCATAAAACTGTTGTTCTTTGAGATGTGTTGGTCATGTCCATTCCAATGCCGCATGCACCATTGCCGGAAGTTTTTCCCCTATTGGTATCTGTTGGATCGACTCTGGTGCCTCCTGGAGTGGCACCTTCATGGCGTAGTATATAGGCACCTGCCGACTCGCCGCCTCCTCAGTTTCTTCTTGCCAGCAACTCCAACAAAGGTGCAGATGGGTTGGTTGTGGAATGGACATGAGCAACACATCTCGAAGAACAACAGTTAGGAAAGGTTAGTAACCGTCTTTTTTTCTTTGAGTGCTTACTCATGTCTATTCCAATGTAGTTGATTCCCAAGCAATCAGTTAGGTGATAAGATCAGAGTTTCGCTGCGACACAGACCAGAGGACTGCTGTGCCAAAAGCTGCATAATTTCTGGACTGTTGAGTCATGGCATAGCGTGAGGTGAATCGGTGTATGGAAGACCAGGTTGCAACCTGGCAGATAACCAGGATTGGGATTTGAGCCACGAATGCTGCTGAAGAGGCTTGAGATCTTATGTAGTGTGGAGGACACCAAAAATCCAATCCTGGCCTTAAAAAAAGTAAATTTTATTAAAGGCTGTCAAGTGTGGAGGTGACACTTTAGCTAGGTCATAGCACATGCGGATGCAGATGTGATCCAAGAGGAGATTCTCTGTACTGAGACAGGGTTCCCCTTCATCCTGTCTGCGATAGCGATGAAAAGCTGGAGTTGTCTTTCAGAACGGCTTGGTCCTTTCTATGTAAAAGGCCAATGCACCTCTAACGTCCAGAGAGTGTAGCAGCCCCTGCTCTTGCCTATTAGCATGAGGCTTGGGATAGAAGACTGGAAGAAAAATGTCCTGGCTACTGTGAAAATGTGAGACCACTTTCAGGAGAAAGGACGGATGTGGTCAAAGTCAGACCTTAAATATATACAGTGGTTCAGAGGGGAGGGCCTGGATTTCTGAGACTCTTCTGGCCTAAGTAATGGCTACTAGAAAGACAGTCTTCCTGGATAAGTAGAGCAAGGGGCATGTTGCCACTGGCTTGAACGGTGGTCCCATCAGTCTTGACACTACCCGGCTGAGGTCCCAAGGAGGCAAACGTTGGTGCACTTGTAGATACAAACACTCTAATCCCTTCAAGAATTGGGCGCAGATCGGGTTTGAAAATACCGACCGGCCATTCGCCACTGGGTGGAATGCTGAGATTGCAGCAAAGTGAATCCTGATGGATGATACCGCAAGACCTTCCTTTTTCAAGTAGAGCAAGTAATCCAGGACAACGGGCAGTGGGGCCTCCAAAGGTAGGATCTTTCTCCACAGTGATCACAGCGTAAACCGCTTCCACTTAGCCAAATAGGCCATTCTAATTGACGGCTTTCTGCTATCCATAAGAAAAGCACGCACCAATGCTGAGAAACTCTGTTCTGCCTCATTCAGCCATGGTGCTTCTGGGCTGTCAAGTGTAGGGACTTGAGGTTGGGGTGGAGCATATGTCTGTGCTCCTGGGAGTTCAAGTCTGGCAGCACCAGAAGGCTGACTGGCGCGTCTATCGAGTGGGCCAGCAAGGTTGTGAAACAATGCAGGCACAGCCATGCTGGTGTTATAAGGATTATGTGCACCTCGTCCCTCCTTACCTTAAGCAAGACCCTGTGGATGAGTGGGGGGGTGGGGGGTGAAGGTGTAGAGAAACCTCCCTCCCCAGGGAAGGAGAAAGGCACCTGAGAGTGAGCTCAGGCTGCTTCCTAGGTACAGGCAAAACTGGGGACATTTCCTATTGAACCTGGTCGCAAACAGCTCCACCTAGGGAGACCCCCATTTCTGGAAAACTGCATTCAAGATGTCTGGTTGGATTGACCACTCGTGATGATTGGTGAAGAATCTGCTCAGGTGGTCCGCCACCCCGTTCTGAGCACCTGGTAGATAGGAGGCTTCCAGGTGAATGGGGTGAGCAATGCAGTATCCCCATAGAACCAGCCTTCCTGGCACAGGGGAGAGGAGCGAGCCCCCCTTTGTTTGTTTATATAAAACATCATGGTCGGTTATCTGAGGACTGACATGCATTTGCCATGTAGGTTGTGACAGAACACCTGACAGGCTAGGCTCACCACTTTTAGCTCCCAGACATTGATTTGTAAGGCTAATTCCTCTGGCGTCCTGAGGAGTGAGCTCCCCATCCCATGTCCAAGGCATCAGTTACCAGAATCATTGAAGGGGTGGGCATTGTGAAGGGGACTCTGGCACTCACTGTGTCCTGGTCCAGCCACCACTGAAGAGTGAGCGTTACTGCTCGGGGAAGAGTGACCACCTTGTCCAACAGGTGACAGCCTGGTATACATATCAATGCCAGCCATGCTTGAAGAGGCCACAGTCTGAGCTGTGCATGTTGCACCGCGTAGGTATAGGAGGTCATATATCCCAGGAACCTCAAGCATCTTCGTGCCATGGTGATGGGAAAAGGACCTCGGGCCGTTTATGATCTCTTTGAAGGCTTGGAAGTGGTTCTTTGGCAAGGAGGCTCTGGCCTGGTTCGAGTCGAGAACTGCTTCTATGAACTCCTTTGTATAGGAGAGAAAGTCGACTTGTGCTTGTTTATCAGCAGCCCCACGTTCCTGAAAGTGGATTGTATGAGGTTCACGTGCCCTTCCACCACGTCTCTGCATTGTCCTCAGGCGCGCCCTCATAAGGACTGCTTAGACCCTGCAGGTTGTTTTGCAGGTGCAGACATGGATGTTGAAGGGGGGTAAGGTGTATGTCTCCTCCTAAAGCCCTTGTTTCTCTGCTGACTGAAGTCCTGCCTCTGCTGTTGAGGCTGGTGGAATCGGCTCATAATGTTTACGAACCGGGGCCAGCATGTGAAGTCCTAACGACTTCAGAGTGGCCCTGGAATCCTTCAGACTATTTAGGCGGGCGTCTGTCTAGTCTGAAAAGAGAGAAGCTCCCTCAAACAGCAAGTCCTAAATTGTTTCCTGGACCTCATGAGGGAGTCCAGAGGACTGGAGCCAAGAGCTCCACCTCATCATGACGGCTGTGGCCATGGCCCAAAAGCCGCCTGGAGGGATGCCTTGGATACAGCCTTACCGTCCTCCACCAAAGCTGCAAACTCTGATCTGGACTCTGTTTATGAGAGTTCCCTGAACTTTAACATGGCAGACCATGAATTAAAATGGTAAGCAACTTAGGAGGGCCTCCTCAGTTGGAGGCTCTGCATAGAGCAGGTTTTTCTCCCCAACAGGTCCAGTTTCCTGGCCTCCTTTGCCTTAGGTGAGGGTCCTTGTTGTCCCTCTCTCCCCCACTCATTGGCAGCAGCCACAACTAGGGAACACAATGGGGGATGGGTATAAAGGTACTCATAGAATATCAGGGTTGGAAGGGACCTCAGGAGGTCATCTAGTCCAACCCCCTGCTCAAAGCAGGACCAATCCCCAATTTTTGCCCCAGATCCCTAAATGACCCCCTCAAGGTTTGAACTCACAACCCTGGGTTTAGCAGGCCAATGCTCAAACCACTGAGCTATCCCTCCCCCCTAAAAAGCAGGGCCAAGCCCCAATTTTTGCCCCAGATCCCTAAATGGCCCCCTCAAGGATTAAACTCACAACCCTGGGTTTCGCAGGCCAATGCCCAAACCACTGAGCTTTCCCTTTCTTCCGTTCCACCTGCAAAGCCTTGATGGGCTAGAGAATGACCTCGTTTAAAGGTAGGGCCACTCTGGCTGGACCCGAGTGTGCCAGTATGTCTACAAGCAGAAGAGATAGAGGAGTCAGCCCTGGCACATTCAGGATTTGGGCCACCCGACACAAGAGCTCCTGATGGGCCTTGTAATCATCTTGTGTGGGTGCTATTGACTGCCTCATCAGGGGAAGATGAGGAGGAGGCTTGTACTGTCATCTGGGCCTTCATGTCTTTCATTGCTGGTCACTCCCCCACGGGGGTATCCTGGGTCTCATCCACTTCTGCGCCCGGAACTGAACCCCTCTTCGAAGGGGAAGGTTGAGGTGCCCTTGCCTTCCAGGGTGCCGAGTGGGACCGATCAATGTGGAAGGCTCGGTAGGATCGTGCTGCTCATGGAGTCCACATTGGCCACTGTAGTGGCCTCTGCCACTGCACAGGTGGCCATGTTGGCTGGGTCAACCCCTGGGTCACCGGTACAGGATGCCCAAGGTCTTGCTAGATGTCTGCTCCGTTGCAAGGTATATGACCTTGCCATCGACTTTGAGCTTGAGGACCCACTTCTGGGTGACCACGGAGGTGCCTTACCCACCCGTGCCGTGTGGTGGTATCACGACTGAGGAGTGGTGCCTTGATGAAGATTTGGTCCAGGAATGTGACTGGTGCTTCAATGTGGGATGGTGCCAGGGTCATGACTGTTGTCGGGATTCCAATCGGTGCTGTGATTGCGAGCAGTGCCAGGACTGTGATCGGCCAGGAGTGGAGTCTCTAGAGGATGAGTGAGATACGAGGCAGTGTTTCACCATCATTGAAGGCTTGCCCAAGATGGGTACTTGCATCCATGGGACAATTCCTGCGGTACCAGGCCTACCTCCGATTGGCCTCGTCTCAGAGAAAGTGCTGGAAGGGACTGAAAGCCTTTTGCTGGCTCATATGCCTCTGGCGTAGTTGGCATGGCCAGGGCTAAGTCATCTTTCTGGCTCACCCTAGGTGGGGAATCCATGCGCACTGGACTCGATGGGTCCCTTCCCGGGGTCAGAATCAATGGTGCAGGCTGGTCGTCGCCAGTGTGAGAGAGTAGCCTGGCACAGGTCTCACTTTGTCTGTCACTTTTCCCAAAGAGGATCGTCCCCGGTCCAACTTCTTTGTCCTTTTGTTCGGCACTGGCGATGAGTATTTGCTTGCAGCGCAAGAGAACAAGAGCGTTCCAGCAACTGTCACAGTCAGAAAGAAGGAACTGAGGAGGCAGCAGGTTGGCAGGTGCCTATGTACCAGAATTGACCCGACAGAAACCACCAGCAGGAAAAATTTCTGGGGATGGTGCACGCAACACATGCACCCCTATATTGGAATCGACATGAGCAAGCACTCAAAGAAAAACCTCAGATTTAGCTATTAAACTCTAACAAGTGTCCACTGAGTCTGAGCAAACGGAGATTTATCAAAGGTTTATAACTTGGCCAAATTTAGTCAGATATTCACAGGGATGTCAAAACACACGTTCCTGATACAAGGGCCAAGCTCCTGCCCCATTCCCAATGAAATTTCAAGTCCCCGCTCCACAACATGGGAACACTAGAGCGTCTCAATGAAATGGATGTAAGATTTTCTTTTTTCCAGCACAAGCAAATGGCGTATTTTCCCCAACCTCATTCTTAGAAATGGCCACTCACTTTTAACTAAAATTTAAAAAAAATTAAATTAAAATAAAAAAAAATTGCAGCCTGAGGCAAACAGCTGGCATGGAAAATTTCTGCTCAAATAGCTGGAAATTTGGCAACGTTATGAGTAAGGCTAAGTTTTTGTCGGGGTATTTTTAGTAAAAGTCAAGGACAGGTCACGGGCAATAAAGAAAAATTCACAGAAGCCCGTGACCTGTCCCTGACTTTTACTAAAAATATCCATGATAAAATGGGAAGGGGCTAGGCAGCTGCGGGGCCCAGGGGCTCAGAGCTCCAGGGTTTCCCTGTCTCCACAGTGGCGGGGAGCTGCAGGGATCCCCCTGCCTCCCCCCCCCATGATGGGGGCCAGGGAGCTCTGGGGGTCCCTCTGCCCCGCTGGGGTGGCCAGGGAGCTCTTGGGGTCCACCTGCCCTGCCGATCCCCCTGTCCTGCTGCAGCTGGCGGGGAGCTGCAGGAATCCCCCTGCTGCCACGGTGGCCGAGGAGCTGCAGGGTCCCCATGTCACCTGTAGCAGCTGGGAACTTCAGGGTACCCCTCCTGCCCACAGTGGCCGGGAGCTCCCTGCCGCTGAGGAGGCGACAGGACCCTGCAGCTCCCAGCCCCTGGGGCTGAAGTTACGGAAGTCTTTGGAAGTCAGATTCCCTGACTTCTGTGATCTCTGGCTCAAAATTGTAGGCTTTGTTATGAGCAACCAAAAACACATCTTATAATGGAAAGTGGCAGACAATCTTAACTGCAGGCAGTGCTATCAGCTCTGCCTATAATGAAGATCAGCCTCAACTTTTTCTAGTCTATCATCTGTCCCTTTGATCTATTCAAAGGAAATAAAGTCCCCAATTCGGCAAATCACTTTAGCATGTGCTTGACAGCTATGTGAATAGGGACCACTCACATGCTGAAAGTACTTTGGTGAATCAGGGCCTTACATTTGCACAATGCCACTTTGGGCTCTAACAGGAAACCCTCACTCTCCAGTGGGTCACAGTGCATATTCATCAGTGGGTACTACTGGATTTTAATTCTCCACCCTCTTCAACACCCTCACTTTCCCACAACTATAAGATGCATCATTATAAGAGGAGTTAGCAGCACTCATTCAAAACAATTGCCTCAAGTAAAAATATACAGCTCGGGTTAATCCACTCTCTAGGCAGTCCAACAGCAATTAGCAGTATAAATGAATCCATTCCATTAATTAATGACATTTCTTTCAAACAATCCAGCTTGGTGAGCAGTTGGATCATTATTGCCTGGTAAGAGTTTTGAAAAGTAAAAATTAAATTATCATAAAATAATCCATAGAATTTTCTTTTAGAAATTGCTAACACCAAATCAGAGGTGCACAAAGACTTCAAAATGCAACTTTCCTCCATCTGACTGCCGTATCATAAGGAGGGACCCACCGCACTCTGATTGCCATACTTGATTCCCACAGGAAAAGGGGTTGACAAGCAACCGACCCCCCCACCCCCCCGACCTTCCAGCCTTCTTGCTTCCACAACCCACTCTCTTCCTCACCTGAATGATAATTCTTAGGGCCCAGACACTTCAGTGCTATGCTGCAGTATGTGACTGCCCATCCGCAGACTAAATTTCACTGGAACAATGCTTTAGGAGTTGGAGCACCTCAATTTTGCACAATTCACTTGTAGAGGCAGCCTACACACCAGGAAGCAACACAGGCAGTACGAGCTGAAAGTTCCCCAGTAAGGAAATGGTTGGGGTGTTACAGCAGAAGGCTGGTTAGATCGTTATAAGAAAACCAGAACAAACGCCTACTTTCAGTGTAACTCGGCCAGCACTATAAAACCAGACTATCTAGTCAGCCTGTGCTACAAGACTTTCATTAACACTCAGCCAAGTACAAAAGCAACTCCTTTGTGAGATGTCCATGATCCCTACCACGCCAAGCCAACTGCACAAGCAAGCCTACAGATGTGGCCACAAAAGGCCCAGCAATGCAAGGCTACAAAGAATCATATATAAATGCAAAGGGTGGAAGGTATCCAAGAGATGCTCATAATTTACAGGGATAGTCACATAATCTAGGCCCCATATTTTTACAAACGGTGACAAGGAAAGTCCCCCAAATTCCAAATAGATAACAAAATTTTAAATTAAAAGCCACTGTGTCTTTGCTATGAAACAACATTTTTGTGGAACCCACAGCATCTGGTTTGTGCGGTTTCAACCAAAAACAGTCAAGAGATACATTAACAACTGATAATGGTCCAGAGATGTTTCAAGCATGAGAAAGCAACAACGGTGGAGTTAAAAACTGCTGTAAGCTCGCTTCTTATACAGCGATTATTTATTAACTAACTTTCAACAAGTCTTTGAAATAGGCAAGCAGTATCCCCATTTTACAGTTGGAATGACTTGCTCAGGGACACAGTGCGTCTGTGGAAGAGCCATCAACTGAACACAGCCTATTCCCATTCTTGTGATCAGTCAACTTTCCAACTTACAAAGGTAAGGTATCGTTGCCTGGGACTGTAATGTACCCCTTTACTGAACAGCTGCATTCTAGATCCTCCCATGCTGCAGCACAAGGAAATGAATATGGGAATATGGCTTTATAGACCAGCTTTATACAGGTCCAAAGCACAGACCTGTAAAAGCCCACAGAATAGCTCTCCCAAGTTTTGGAAGAAGTTTTCATGTCCCCTGCCACCTTTGGAGATAACAGGATTTTATGGTAAACTGCTATATTAATTCCAGCTTCTTTGGAAGCAAGACAAAAAAGACAAAATTTGCCTAATGGAGACCACAAAACTAGTGAGGATAAAAGACTGTCATAATTCTACAGCAATGGAAAAAAATTATTGCAGTGTCTTTGTAAACTGCATCAAAATGCTAGAACTTTGGGAGTGACATAGCTTTTTCATGTTTAATACAAAAACTTTTTATACCCACAAGGAGTTTCAATCCTACTTTGTTACTCTGTTCCATACAGCCAGCATGAGAGCTGCACTTCGCATACAACAGAAGAATTGCCTTCAAAGTGCTAAGCTATCACCCTTCTCTTCATCTTTACTTATCCCTTTTCTGACCATATATCTTCTCCTTATCAAATTTGTTTCCAAGCTCTAGATGTTCCTCAGGGGTGCAGCCATAAATATATATATATTTAAAAAAATTTTAAAAATATATGCACACCCCAGGAGGCAATTTATTATACCTGAGTCAAGGATGAAATAAGTTCCTTGTTATGTTCAGCAACAGTTTTTTGAAGTCCTCTCCAGCAAATATTCTTGCTCTCAGTACATTCAAGAATCTGCTTGTACAGCCGGTTGTTCTGACGATTTACTGGGCCACAAAAAGGGAGGAAAAGAAGATTCAAGCGGAGCTCTTCAGGGACAAGTGATGTCAGGTCTCCATTTAAAACATGGCCTGTTCCTTCAGATTTTCAAACTCCCTCACTAGGGAGGATGCTCTGCATGCACACAGCATAGCATACACATAGGCACATTAACTGAAGTATCATCAAGACTTTGGAAACAGACTCATTTAATTGTCCAAAAAATAAAAATATTCACTGATTGGATATTGATCATATAAATATTTTTATTTCAGTAAGTCCTCTGCTGGGCTCTCCCACTTTATTTCACCTCCACCCAAGGCTTGGCATGGAGCTGACTCACCCTTCTGGTGAAAGAAAGCTAGGTATGGTCAGTCATTACTGTTCATTAGTTGGCTGCTCAAGAGCAAAGCTTCTTTTTCCAAGATTGACTGTGCTTCCTTCACAGAGCTCCCACCAACTGGCCCAGAGAGCAAGGGACTGCGGCTCAAACTAAAATCCTTTCTTGTCTGGTGGTAGTTGGTGCTGTCCCTATACCACTTTGTTGGTTTAAGTTAATCTGTAGACCGTCATCATAGAATTCTCCTCTCAGACTACACTCTGAATGGCCAGTAGCCTGTGATTCACACACTCTCTCTCTGTCTCTGAGTGATGCTGAATCTTTGCACACTGCAGAGGATGGGGATACCAATACTGACCAGGACCTGTGAAACCATCATAACTGGTTTGTGCTATTTAAAAAAAAGGTGGGGGGGGGGAATCTCCCCTTTACAAAAAGATTATCCCATGGAATTGCCATGAAGATAAAAGAAATGCAAAGTCCAACTCATTCCATACTGATCATTTGCAAAGGCACCTCCTAAAGGTGTGTATGAGGAAAGGAGCCAGCCCACAGACTGAGTCTGTGGAGTTGTATGCATTATAGGTAGAGCTGTTACATACACTTGATCTAAGGCACTTAGTCTCTTTTCACTATGAACCTATGCATGTTTCCCACAACATGATCCTTTTTCCCTGCTCAGCATCCTTCCACCCCCTAAGATTATACAGGTTTTGGCAACATTTTCAGCCATGAAACAAAAACAATAAATGTTCAACGGACTTTCCTAAAAAAAGTTAAAGCGGAATTCCTCTTGGGAAGTTGGGAACATGAACAAGTTTGTGCCAGACACCTGTGGTGACTCAGAATGGCTGGGAGGATGAAAAGGGGATCCTGCAGAACTTGGGCTTTTCCTGGACGCCTCTGAACGCTTCCTGAAGACCTGGCTGCTCTTTCTGCGGGCATTCTCCCTCACCTCCACGACCTGAGCAGACTTCGCAGCTTACAGAGTGGAAGAGAAAGACAGAAAGAAAAACCGTTAAGGCTTCTCATGCACCAGAATTCCATTCTCTAGGGCTACATGGACAATGGAGGGATTAGTATTCCTGCTCCCTTTTTTCAGGCATGGTTTCCCATCCTGGACCCTTATGTAGGTCTGCCTCTCATACCTGCCTGCATGAGCTTCAGTTGTTTCTGTCTCTCCTCCTCCATCTTCTTCTTGTAATCTCCAAACATGGCTCGCATGACCTGACACTTCTTTGCCAGCACAGCCTTGTCACTGTGGAGTGTCTTGATGGCATGGAGAGCTTCTTCAGCTGAATCATTGGAAAGGAGAGACATGCGCACACAGAATATAACTCTCTCCCTTTGCTCTTTCCCTGCATCACTGCTTCTGCCTCCCTTCCCTTCCAACAAGACACTCTCTGGCTTACTCACCCTGTTTTGGAGTGGATTTTTGTGTCTTCAGGCCAAGTTCCAGCTGTTCCACACACCAATCCACTTCCTTCCACAGCTGTTTAACTGACTGCTATATAAAACAGAACACAGAGAGGGGAGGAAATGAAATTGCCCCAAAACTAAAACTGCATCTGTTAGTCAGCAAGGAAAATCAAGGATCTACAGATTTAGGAGTTGAATGTTCATGTTTTCACACCCTCAGAGCTGGTTTCACTTCATATTCCTGAAGCCACTTTATGTCCAGCACCTTCCACCTGATGATCTCAAGCCTTTGCACAAACAGTACTGAAGCCTCCCAACACCTGTATGTGGAAGGTTTGCTTGCCTATGTTTGTCCAGCACTATGGGAGCCTTTGGTCTGACAGCAGTTATACAAACATAAAATAAGTCATTTTCCAGTGGGGAAAACTAAGGAAGAGAGAGGTGAAGTGACCTTCCCAAGGTTGCACAGTGAGTGAGTTACAAAACCCAGAAGAGAATCTAGTGTCCTGTCTCCTATTGCCCTGCCCTCCCAGGGATGTGCAAGTGTTAGCTAGTTAATGTCTGTGAAAACAGAAGGAGCTGTACAAACACTAAGGCCTGGTCTACACTACAAGTTTAGGTCGAATTTAGCAGCATTATCTCGATTTAACCCTGCACCCGTCCCACACGACAAAGCCCTTTTTTCCGACTTAAAGGGCTCTTAAAATCTATTTCTTTAATCCACCCCTAACGGGGGAATTAGCGCTGAAATCTGCCTTGCTGGGTCAAATTTGGGGTACTGTGGATGCAATTCGACGGTATTGGCCTCTGGGAGCTATCCCAGAGTGCTCAGTTGTGACCGCTCTGGACAGCGCTCTCAACTCAGATGCACTGGCCAGGTATACAGGAAAAGGCCCGCGAACTTTTGAATTTCATTTCCTGTTTGGCCAGCGAGGCGAGCTCACCTGCACAGGTCACCATGCAGAGCTCATCATCACCGGAGACCATGCAGTCCCAGAATCGCCGAAGAGCTCCAGCATGGACCGAAAGGGAGGTACGGGATCTGATTGCTGTACAGGGAGACGAATCCGTGCTGGCAGAACTCCGCTCGAAAAGAAGAAATGCCAAAATATTTGAAAAAATCTCCAATGGCATGAAGGACAGAGGCTATAACAGGGACCTGCAGCAGTGCCACGTGAAAATTAAGGAGCTCAGGCAAGCCTACCAAAAAAACCAGAGGCAAACGGCTGCTCCAGTTCAGAGCCCCAGACATGCCGCTTCTATGATGAGCTGCATGCCATTCTAGGGGGTGCAGCCACCACTACCCCAACCCTGTGCTTTGACTCCATCCAAGGAGTGGGAGGCAACCTGGAAGCAGGTTTTGGGGGTGAAGAAGATGATGATGATGAGGAGGAGGAGGAGGTTGTAGATAGCTCACAGCAAGGAAGCGGAGAAACTGGTTTCCCCAACAGCCAGGATCTGTTTATCACCCTGGACCCAGTACCCCCCCGAACCCACCCAAGGTGGGCTCCCAGACCCTGAAGATGGAGAAGGGACTTCTAGTGAGTACACCTTTGTAAATATTATACATGGTTTAAAAGCAAGCGTGTTTAATGATTAATTTGCCTTGGCATTCGCGGCCAGTACAGCTACTGGAAAAATCTGTTAACGTGTCTGGGGATGGAGCGGAAATCCTCCAGGGTCATCTCCATAAAGCTTTCCTGGATGTACTCCCAAAGCCTTTGCAAAAGGTTTCTGGGGAGGGCAGCCTTATCCTGTCCTCCATGGTAGGACACTTTACCACGCCAGGCCAGTAGCATGTAGTCGGGAATCATTGCAGAACAAAGCATGGCAGCATATGGCCCTGGTGTTTGCTGGCCTTCAAACAACATCCATTCTTTATCTCTCTGTGTTACCCTCAGGAGAGTGATATCATTCATGGTCACCTGGTTGAAACAGCGTGGTTTTAGTAAGGGGACATTCAGAGGTGCCCATTCCTGCTGGGCTGTTTGCCTGTGGCTGCACAGAAATCTTCCCCGCTGTTAGCCATGCGGTGGGGGGAGGGGGTGAAGCCATCATCCCACAGAATTGGGTGTGTGTGTGGGAGGGGGCTGGGGGGGGGGTTAGTTGGGTTTCTGCTGCACGTGAACCTGAAAACCACAGCCCTCCTTTTAAATTGCCAACCCATTTTTAATGGGCAACCCAACGGCTACTTCGTATGGGAAATGAGGGTGCTGGTGTTTGAAACCATTCCCACGTTATGAAGCTTAAAGAAGCCAAAAGACTGTGGCTTACCATGGTTGCCTGCAAGCCGAATTCTGCTGCCCAGCCCTGTGTGAGTGATCTCTCACACCAAACCAGCATACCCTCAATAAGAGGCAAAATGCGACCTTGTAATGAAAGCACATGTGCTATGTAACGTTAACAGCAAGGTTTACCGTGAAAGAGTGTTCTATAAAATGTGTTTTTTTAACTACCACTCTCCCCATTTTTTTCCCCTCCACCAGTTGCATATGTTTCTCCTTCCCAGAGGCTAGTGAAGATTAGAAGGAAAAAAAAAAAAACACTCGTGATTAAATGTTCTCTGACCTCATGCTGTCCTCCCACACTGACAGAGCACAGCAAAATATGTGGAGGCAGACAATCTCAGAGTGCTGGAAAACACAATATGACCGTGAGGAGAGGTGGTGGGCTGAACATGGTAGGTGGCGTCAGCTTGCTGAAAGAAGGCAGGAGTCAATGCTCAGGCTGCTGGAGGATCAAACTCATGCTCCAGTGTATGGTTGAGCTGCAGGAAAGGCAGCAGGAGCACAGACCACCGCTACAGCCCCTGTGTAACCAACCGCCCTCCTCCCCAAGTTCCACAGCCTCTGCACACAGAGGCCTAAGAATGCGGAGGGGGGGCTCCAGCCACTCCACCCCAGAGGATTGCCCAAGCAACAGAAGGCTGGCATTCAATAAAAGCTTTAAAGTGCTATGTGGCCTTGTCCTTCACTCCTCCACCACCCCACCCGGTGCTTCCCTCCTCCACCACCTCCCCGGGCTACCTTGGCAGTTATCTCCCTATTTGTGTGATGAATAAATAAAGAATGCATGAATATGAAGCAACAATGACTTTATTGCATCTGCAAGCGGTGATCGAAGGGGGGAGGGGAGGGTGCTTAGCTTACGGGAAAGTAGAGTGAATCCGGGGGGGGGGGGGGGAAGGGGGGTTTCCATCAAGGAGAAACAAAACAGAACTTTCACACCGTAGCCTGGCCATTCCTGAAACTGGTTTTCAAAGCTTCTCTGATGTGCACTGCGCCCTCCTGTACTCTTCTAACCGCCCTGGTGTCTGGCTACACGTAACCAGCGGCCAGGCGATTTGCCTCAACCTCCCACCCCGCCATAAACGTCTCCCCCTTATTCTCATAGATATTGTGGAGCACACAGCAAGCAGTAATAACAATGGGAATATTGGTTTCGCTGAAGTCTAACCGAGTCAGTAAACTGTGCCAGCGCGCTTTTAAATGTCCAAATGCACATTCTACCACCATTCTGCACTTGCTCAGCCTATAGTTGAACAGATCCTGACTACTGTCCAGGGTGCCTGTGTACGGCTTCATGAGCCATGGCATTAAGGGGTAGGCTGGGTCCCCAAGGATAACTATAGGCATTTCAACATCCCCAACGGTTATTTTCTGGTCTGGAAAGTAAGTCTCTTGCTGCAGCTGTTCAAACAGACCAGAGTTCCTGAAGATGCGAGCGTCATGTACCTTTCCCGGCCATCCCACACTGATGTTGTTGAAACGTCCCTTGTGATCCACCAGTGCTTGCAGCACCATTGAAAAGTACCCCTTTCGGTTTATGTACTTGCTGCTCCGGTGCCAAGATAGGGATATGGGTTCCGTCTATGGCCCCACCACAGTTAGGGAATCCCATTGCAGCAAAGCCATCCACTATGACCTGCACATTTCCCAGGGTCACTACCCTTGATATCAGCAGATCTTTAATTGCGTGGGATACTTGCATCACAGCAGCCCCCACAGTAGATTTGCCCACTCCAAATTGATTCCCGACTGACCGGTAGCTGTCTGGCGTTGCAAGCTTCCACAGGGCTATCGCGACTCGCTTGTGAACTGTGAGGGCTGCTCTCATCTTGGTATTCTTGCGCTTCAGAGCAGGGGTAAGCAAGTCACAAAGTTCCATGAAAGTGGCCTTATGCACGCAAAAGTTTCACAGCCACTGGGAATAGTCCCAGACCTGCAACACTATGCGGTCCTACCTATCTGTGCTTGTTTCCCGGGCCCAGAATTGGCGTTCCATGCCATGAACCTGCCCAATTGTCACCATGATGTGCACATTGCAGGGGCCCGTACTTTGTGAAAAGTCTATGTCCATGTCCTCATCACTCTCATCACCGCGCTGCAGTCGCCTCCTCCTTGCCTGGTTTCGCTTTTCTTGCATGTTATGGTTCTGCATATCCTGCTGGATAATGCATGCGGTGTTTATAGTGCTCATAATTGCTGCAGTGATCTGAGCGGGCTCCATGTTCCCAGTGCTATGGCGTATGCGCTGAAAAAAGGCGCAAAATGATTGTCTGCCGTTGCTCTGACAGAGGGAGGGGCGACTGACAACATGGCTTACAGGGTTGGCTTACAGGGAATTAAAATCAACAAAGGGGATGGCTTTGCATCAAGGAGAAACAGAATGGCCCCCTCAAGGCTAGAACTCAAAACCCTGGGTTTAGCAGACTGTTGATTTCATGGAGAGAGGGAGGAAGGGAGGAGAAAACAAATCTGGTCTATTTCTTGTTTTGATCCATTTCATCTATCTTTATAGATCTTGCTGGCAGCAAACGGTTCAGTACAACTGCTGGCCATCATCATCTCCTCGGTGCTCGGCAGAAGACGGTGCAGTATGACTGCTGGCCATCGTCGTCTCCTGGCTGCTCATTAGAAGACGGTGCAGTAGGACTGCTGGCAGGACTGAATCTCCATGAGACGAAACTTAAAAGGGAAATGACCTGGCTGAGTCACTCCCATGTTTGCCCAGGTGCCCCGACCAACCGCACCGAGGTCAGCTAAAAGAGCACCCTGGAGTACAGCGACGATGGCTACCAGTCATACTGCACTGCCTGCTGCCAAAAGGCAATGAGCTGCTGCTGTGTAGCAATGCAGTACCGTGTCTGCCAGCACCCAGGAGACATACAGTGACGGTGAGCTGAACGGGTTCCATGCTTGCCGTGGTATGGCATCTACATGGTAACCCAGGAAAAAAGGCGCAAAATGATTGTCTGCCCTTGCTTTCACGGAGGGAGGGAGGAAAGGGGGGCCCTGACAATATGTACCCAGAACCACCTGTGACAATGTTTTTGCCCCATCAGGCATTGGGATTTCTACCCAGAATTCAAATGGGCGGCAGAGACTGTGGGAACTGTGGGATAGCTACCCACAGTACAATGCTCCGGAAGTCGACGGTTGCCTAGGTACTGTGGACACACTCCGCCGACTAAATGCACTAAGAGCATTTGTGTGGAGAGACATACGCTCGACTGTATAAAAACGCTTTCTACAAAACTGACTTCTATAAATTCGACCTAATTTCGTACTGTAGACATAGCCTAAGTGTTATCCAGCATACCCAACAGACTGGATTTAATTCATGGTTACCTAGGAAAGCTACCCACTGGTGCCTTATATACAGTGCCCACCTGAGGGATGGATACCTCAGGAGTCAGGTAAAGGGCTGTGGGGCTTTTCACCCCAGGCTGGTCTGGTCTAGGGCAGTAGTTGCTGAGATTCATCTTCTGAGGTGTGTCTGTGCGTCTCAGTCCAGTTCCTAATGGACAGCTGTCCATATCGCATAAACCACTGCAGTTGTCTGTCTCAATAGAGAGGCCAGTAACAGAATGGCCAGAGATTGAACCCTCCCACCTCACACACACACTCTTGGAGGGGGGCTCTCAAGGTCAGGGTTGAGGCACAGCAGTTGGGTGATGGAGGAACCTCTCACAGCTGTTTCCTGTGTTGCAGCCTTCACATTCCAGCCTTGCTGATCTGGGACCATTCATGAGGCCTAAATTCACTGACATTTTAAAGAAAAACATAACAGAAACTACAGACTTCAGTGCAGCATTAGCAGATGGTAAGGTGTACTTTAATGATCTCTTAAAAACAGGACTCAGAGCAGTTGGTGCCTTCAACCTCTTTCCGTGTCATTATAAATCTAGAGACAAGGACTGGGACGCAGGAGGTCTTCTGGGCTCTGTTCCTGGCTCTGTGACAATCTTGATCTTGGCCAAGTCAGCTAACCTCTCTGTATCTCAATTTCACCATTTGCACAATGAGGATACCACCTACCAGCCAGGGATGCTACAAGGTCTAAATCATTACATGTCTGCAAAGCGCTTGCAGACTCTCAGACATGGTTCTAGGGAAGGGAAAAGTAACATCAACTTGAGCCACCTAGTCCACCCCCACTTGTTAGGTTTCTGGTCACAGTGAAACCCTAATGGGATAAGCAGCAATAAATGGCTATTCGTTTCCAGCCTGTGCCACCACACAGATTTAGAAACCCCACACATACATTAACTTTCCCTTCCAACGAAACTATGGAGCCTTAACAGTGAGGTTATGTTTATTAGCCAGAAAATAATTCACATACCTGCATGGTCTTGTCCTGGACGGACAAATCTGTGTCTTCACACCCACTGGCTCCCACCTTCACCTTCTTGCTGACCTCAGCTTCTGCCATCTCCTTCTTACTATTTGATGGTTTCTTTTTCTTCTTCTTCTTCTTGGGCGCTCCAGCTGCTGCTGTCTTCCCTGCCTTCACCTCATCTACAGAAGCAATCTCTGGTTTTGGGGTCTCAAAAAAGAGAGCCTCTCTCCCTAATCCTCCACCCACACAGCCCACAACCTCAGGCATATTAGCCTCCAACAGGGTTGAATGCTTCATTGGTCCTGCAGATGCTAAGCCATGTGATGTCACATTTTCTGCTACACTCTCCGCTCTTTGGCCTGTAACAACAGACGGCATCATGGGGCCATCTTTATCTGGGATGACAAAATTGAAAGCAAACTTGGGCTCTTGTCCAGTGGTGGAAAAGTTCAACACTTCCCCAGAACTAGAAGATTTGAGTGAACTTACACTGATGGGCCTCTGTTCAGAGCCACCTACCCCCTGGGCCTCTTCCAAAGTTCCATTGGTTGCTTGTGGATCCATCTCAGGAAGTGCAAAGCTGAATTGGAAGCTATTATCAGATGGTGTGAACCAGTTTGTTGCTGTCTCAGAGGTCTGTCCAGATCGCTTCCTATACACCATGCTCCCTGAAGCAGGCGCCTTCCCTTGCTGTATTTGCACTTTCCCAGGTTTCATGGCTAGAGAGAAGAGGAAGATTTGTGTTTCTTTTACTTCTCTGATTTCTTACCATGTTGGTGCCACATTAGAACAATTCACTTCTATAAGGGACACCCAACCCATGTGAATGCAGAATGCTATTGTATTTTGGTACCAGCAAGGGATTGTGGGCAAAATACTGTAGCAAATTGCCAGCACTACTATGATGGGTCTCGCGCTCTCTCTTCTTGGGGGGGGGGGGTTCAGGGCACCGTTTCTTGCCCCTGAACTGGGGTATTAACTGCCCCACTAGTGTCCTAGAGGAGGGGAGTGGAAAGGGAGGGACCCGGGCCCATCCCCTACTCCGGGTTCCAGCCCAGGGGCCCTAGGGATAGCGGTAAACCACTAGAACTAGCAGTTCCTTCCCCTGGTCTACTTCCCTCTCCTGCCCTTCAGCTTGCGGGGCTTCCTGCCCTCCCTCTGCACAAATCAGTTGTCCCTTTACCTAGCGTCTTGGTCTTCTTAGCCCACCGTAGCACTTCTCCAAACTCTCCTCTGCTTCCCTCCAAACTGCTCTCTGCTCCAACACCAATCCACTCTGCTTCAACTCCTCCTCTTGTCTGATTGAAGCACGGAGTTTTTATCATGTGACTGGCTTCAGGTGCTTTAATTAATTTATAGCAAACTTTCTTCCCTTTACAGGGAATAAGGCTCCCTTCTAACACTCTCCTGTTGCCCTCTGGCCATGCTGTATCACGTATCCCCCCCCCCCCCCCTCTTTGCTCAACCATGGGGTTGGGCTACTTCAGACGAGAGGCAGTGCTGTCATGATAGGCCATCAGTATTGCCGTATTGGCTTCCAGCCCTACACTGTACCCGGAAATGGAAGAGCTGCAGGGATAGGAACATAGAATCATAGAATCATAGAATATAAGGGTTGGAAGGGACCCCAGAAGGTCATCTAGTCCAACCCCCTGCTCAAAGCAGGACCAATTCCCAGTTAAATCATCCCAGCCAGGGCTTTGTCAAGCCTGACCTTAAAAACCTCTAAGGAAGGAGATTCTACCACCTCCCTAGGTAACGCATTCCAGTGTTTCACCACCCTCTTAGTGAAAAAGTTTTTCCTAATATCCAATCTAAACCTCCCCCACTGCAGCTTGAGACCATTACTCCTCGTTCTGTCATCTGATACCATTGAGAACAGTCTAGAGCCATCCTCTTTGGAACCCCCTTTCAGGTAGTTGAAAGCAGCTATCAAATCCCCCCTCATTCTTCTCTTCTGCAGGCTAAACAATCCCAGCTCCCTCAGCCTCTCCTCATAACTCATGTGTTCCAGACCCCTAATCATTTTTGTTGCCCTTCGCTGGACTCTCTCCAATTTATCCACATCCTTCTTGAAGTGTGGGGCCCAAAACTGGACACAGTACTCCAGATGAGGCCTCACCAATGTCGAATAGAGGGGAACGATCACGTCCCTCGATCTGCTCGCTATGCCCCTACTTATACATCCCAAAATGCCATTGGCCTTCTTGGCAACAAGGGCACACTGCTGACTCATATCCAGCTTCTCGTCCACTGTCACCCCTAGGTCCTTTTCCGCAGAACTGCTGCCTAGCCATTCGGTCCCTAGTCTGTAGCTGTGCATTGGGTTCTTCCGTCCTAAGTGCAGGACTCTGCACTTATCCTTATTGAACCTCATCAGATTTCTTTTGGCCCAATCCTCCAATTTGTCTAGGTCCTTCTGTATCCTATCCCTCCCCTCCAGCGTATCTACCACTCCTCCCAGTTTAGTATCATCCGCAAATTTGCTGAGAGTGCAATCCACACCATCCTCCAGATCATTTATGAAGATATTGAAAAAACCGGCCCCAGGACCGACCCTTGGGGCACTCCACTTGATACCGGCTGCCAACTAGACATGGAGCCATTGATCACTACCCGTTGAGCCCGACAATCTAGCCAGTTTTCTACCCACCTTGTAGTGCATTCATCCAGCCCATACTTCCTTAACTTGCTGACAAGAATACTGTGGGAGACCGTGTCAAAAACTTTGCTAAAGTCAAGAAACAATACATCCACTGCTTTCCCTTCATCCACAGAACCAGTAATCTCATCATAGAAGGCGATTAGATTAGTCAGGCATGACCTTCCCTTGGTGAATCCATGCTGGCTGTTCCTGATCACTTTCCTCTCATGCAAGTGCTTCAGGATTGATTCTTTGAGGACCTGCTCCATGATTTTTCCAGGGACTGAAGTGAGGCTGACTGGCCTGTAGTTCCCAGGATCCTCCTTCTTCCCTTTTTTAAAGATTGGCACTACATTAGCCTTTTTCCAGTCATCCGGGACTTCCCCGGTTCGCCACAAGTTTTCAAAGATAATGGCCAATGGCTCTGCAATCACAGCCGCCAGTTCCTTCAGCACTCTCGGATGCAACTCGTCCGGCCCCATGGACTTGTGCACATCCAGCTTTTCTAAATAGTCCCTAACCACCTCTATCTCCACAGAGGGCTGTCCATCTCTTCCCCATTTTGTGATGCCCAGCGTAGCAGTCTGGGAGCTAACCTTGTTAGTGAAAACAGAGGCAAAAAAAGCATTGAGTACATTAGCTTTTTCCACATCCTCTGTCATTAGTTTGCCTCCCTCATTCAGTAAGGGGCCCACACATTCCTTGGCTTTCTTCTTGTTGCCAACATACCTGAAGAAACCCTTCTTGTTACTCTTGACATCTCTGGCTAGCTGCAGCTCCAGGTGAGATTTGGCCCTCCTGATAACATTCCTACATGCCCGAGCAATATTTTTATACTCTTCCCTGGTCATATGTCCAATCTTCCACTTCTTGTAAGCTTCTTTTTTATGTTTAAGATCCGCTAAGATTTCACCATTAAGCCAAGCTGGTCGCCTGCCATATTTACTATTCTTTCGACTCATCGGGATGGTTTGTCCCTGTAACCTCAACAGGGATTCCTTGAAATACAGCCAGCTCTCCTGGACTCCTTTCCCCTTCAAGTTAGTCCCCCAGGGGATCCTGGCCATCCGTTCCCTGAGGGAGTCGAAGTCTGCTTTCCTGAAGTCCAGGGTCCGTATCGTGCTGCTTACCTTTCTTCCCTGTGTCAGGATCCTGAACTCAACCAACTCATGGTCACTGCCTCCCAGATTCCCATCCACTTTTGCTTCCCCCACTAATTCTACCCGGTTTGTGAGCAGCAGGTCAAGAAAAGCGCCCCCCCTAGTTGGCTCCTCTAGCACTTGCGCCAGGAAATTGTCCCCTACGCTTTCCAAAAACTTCCTGGATTGTCTATGCACCGCTGTATTGCTCTCCCAGCAGATATCAGGAAAATTAAAGTCACCCATGAGAATCAGGGTGACAACAACCTAGTCACTCTTGCGTTCTTCTCCTTGTTTCTGTGCATCCACTGGAGTGGGGCATGGTCTGTTACGAGGGTAAACCGCCGCCCCAGTAGGTAGTAGCGGAGAGTCTCCATAGCCCATTTTACCGCCAGACATTCCTTTTCAACGACGGTGTACTTTTGTTCCCTGGGGAGGAGTTTCCGGCTGAGGTACAAGATCGGGTGTTCCTCTTCTCCTACCATCTGCGAAAGGACGACTCCTAGCCCTACCTCCGAGGCATCTGTTTGTAGGATGAATTCCTTCTCGAAGTCTGGAGCTATGAGTACTGGATGGCAGCAAAGGGCTGTCCTTAAATCTGCAAATGCTCCTTCTGCTGCATCAGTCCACTTTACTATCTCGGGGCCCCGAGCCTTTATGAAATCCGTCAATGCTCTTGTGGCAAAATGAGGGATGAATTTCTGATAGTATCCTACCACCCCTAGAAATGCTCTGACCTGCTTTTTGCAGACTGGTCGAGGCCAACCTTGTATTGCCTCTACTTTATTCCATTGGGGTTTCACCAAACTTCTCCCTACTACATACCCAAGGTATCTGGCCTCAGCTAGTCCTATCACGCGCTTGAGAGGGTTGGCAGTGAGGCCGGCCTTCCGCAGGGCGTCTAGCACCGCTTCTACTTTTCCTAGGTGCATTTTCCAGTCAGAGCTATGGATGACTAAGTCATCTAGATAGGCATACTTGGCATGGGGTCGCAGCAATTTGTCCATAAGTCGTTGGAATGTTGCAGGGGCCCCATGGAGTCCAAAAGGGAGGACAGTGTATTGGAACAGGCCATCGGGTGTAGAGAAGGCAGTCTTTTCCCTGGCATTCTTGGCCAGGGGAATTTGCCAATATCTTTTGGTCAGGTCCAGAGTGGTTAGGTACTGGGCCTTGCCTAGTTAGATCAACTAGCTCGTCAATGCGTGGTATCGGATAGGCATCAAATTGGGATACTTCATTCAACTTCCGGAAGTCATTGCAAAACCTCAGGGTGCCGTCAGGCTTGGGAACTAGGATGATAGGGCTGGACAACTCACTGTGGGATTCTTCAATAACCCTGAGTTCCAGCATCTTCTTCACTTCTGTCCTAATTTCTTCCCTTTTAGGTTCCAGTATCCAGTACAGTCTTATCATCACCCTCACTCCGGGCCTGGGGACAATATGATGTTGGACCAGTGTCGTACGGGCTGGCTGTGTATAGAACACATCCCGGTTCCGTTGCATCATATCAATGACCTCTGTTCGTTGTTCTGGGGTCAACTCAGGAGATATCTTCACCTGCCCCTGTGGGTCGTCTGTCTGGGATGGAGCTCCCCGAATGACCAGGCACATCTCTCGGTCACGCCAGGGCTTCAGTAAGTTGATGTGGTACATTTGCTCTGGCCTTCGGTTGTCTGGTTGTCTGACCTTATAGTCCACCTCCCCAATGGCTTCCACTATCTCATATGGTCCATGCCAGCTGGCGAGGAGTCTGCTTTCTGCTGTCGGCACTAGCACCATCACCCATTCCCCCAACTGAAATCTCCGTACTTTCGCCCGACAGTTGTAGTATGTCCTTGGTCTGTCAGGATCTCCTTAGGGATGCCCACTCTGTCAAAAAGCTGGAGTAGTTATTTTTCTATTGCCTTGGATGTGGGGTTTCTTAAAGGAATGGCTT